TGACGCCTTCTCGTCCGCGCATCCGCCTCGGCCCTGGGACCCGGCAGGTCCAGCGGCCCGGGCTGGGCGGGCGGCAGATGCCCTTCCCCGATCTGTGCTGCTTTAACTCCCTTTAACGGGTCCTTGGGGGACCTCTCAATTGTAACCTAACGTGCGCCCGTCCTTCTTTTCATGGCTAGCGGTTTGTTCCTCATTAAACATCGCCGGGCATGACTGCGTTTGCCCGCATCCGACACTGTCGTTGCTGTGTTGGTATGTCGCTCACCCTGAGGTGTGTCACACACCCGCAGTTGGATTTCTTCAGAGGCTCGTGGGCTCCCCATTTTAAGAAACAGAACCGCCCAGTCCCCTTGTCCCCCCGGGGCTCTGTGGCTGCCTCTGGGCTGTCTCCGGGCTGTCTCCCCGCACTGTCCCCTCCCGTCGCCCTGAGCCAGTACCATCGAGCAGCTGTGGCATCGTCCGAGATCCCGTGTCTGTCGGCGAGGCCCCCCGTCTTGCTCGTCTGGAGAGGGCCTTGGTTATCCTTGGCCCTCAGTGTTCACACAAGACTGAGGCTCGGCCCCCAGGCACGCACACGCTCGCTTCTGGTGGCCCTCCTGTCCCCGCCCGGGACCTTGTCCAGCCGCGTTCAGGTCGCGGGCCGTTCTCGTGTCCGGGCTCCGGAGCCGGCTGCGGAGAAGCCGGCGCGTCTTCTCCTAGATTTGCCCGTAAGCGCCGGTGTCCTGTACGCCCTTCGCCCGGCACCTTCTCCCGCTGCTTCCCTCCTTGTCGCCGGCGTGCACAACCACAGCTGCGTTTCCGCCATTTTCTAATGTTTGTATTTAGCAGCCAAACAGAACCTCTTATCAAGTTGAGTAAATTACCTGGGGATCGTTTTGGATTTTTCTACACTCACATTCGTATTATTCGCAGTCAATGACAGCTGTGTCTCTCTCTTTCTCATCATTTTAAATTCAATTAGTTTGTTCATCGTGGTGTGTTGGTTGAGTCTCCAACACACTGTCACTTAGAAAAGGTGTTGGCAGGGCCCTTGTCTGGCTCCTGGTCTCAAAAAGAAGTGCTCCGTATGTCACCATTAAACATGACGTTTGTCTTGTCTATTCCGAAGACACCCTTTCTCAGATTAAGGATGTTCCCTGACATTCCTAGTATTCGGAGAACTTTTATCACAAACGTAAACTTGTCAAGGTCTGAGATGTGACGGCACGGTCCTTCCAAGCCAGCATTAGCCTGTCACTGATCCACAGGTGCCGGCCCTGGACCCGAGGTTCCTGCCTCAGAAGCAAAGGGCACTGTCACTCACGGCGTGCCACAGGCATGCTGTCTGTCGGTGCCCCACGTCTCCGTGACTGAGGACCGTGTCGCTCCAACGGGAGAACCCAGGCGGCCCAGCCAGAGTTGAGTTGGACTCCGCAGGGCGCTCTGGCCAGGCTGGCCTGGGGCTGCTGTGAGGGGACAGAGATGTGCCACCTGCAGACCCCATGTCAGCCCCTCCCTTCCATCTGTCATTACCCAGAGGGCAGCCAAGAGCAGAGGGACCCTCTGTGGGGACAGCGTATCCCATGAGCAAACTCCCTGGCGGGTGCATGACCAGGGCAGCCAGGCGGCAGAGGCTCTGGGGTTGTTCTGGGGACGCTGAGCCAGGACTTGGTGGGACTGGATGCTGGCGGCCTATGGGGACTGTGGGATGGTCACTGGACACTGGACTGTCAACCAGTGTGGAGTGGCCTTGGAGGCTGCGGACACATAGCAGACAGACTCAAGTGGCCCCAGATGTCGTCAGCGTCACAGCGGTGTGGCCAGTAGGTGGTCAGGCCAGAACACTGGCACCACGACCTGGACAAGTGAGACCCAGCGGTGGGCCTGGGAGGGTCAGAGGTCACCCCAGCGAGAAGGGGAGCAGGCCAGCGTCCATGGGGACAAGCCCAGTGTGCACAGGGGGCTTTTGCCTGAGCAGCACACAGCCCTTCTCTTTCGCTCGTCCCCGCTTGTGGCTGCGCAGCCACTTCTGGGACGAGGAGGGATCCAGGAGGCAGTGGCGGCGCCTCCATCAGCGGCTCGTTCCCCATCGGCCCCATCAAGGATGCGCCTCCCTGTGGGCACATATGCGAGTGACCCAGACTGTCTCAGTGGCTGCACTTTGTTCCTAGGTTGATGGGCCCCTAAGTCAGCATCTCTGGCAGGCCAGGCTGTGCTCTTCCAGGTGGCAGGCCCGCCAGCAGGCGGGGCGGCAGGGGGGGTGGCAGGCGGACCACAGGCTTTTCTAGGACAGGGTCAGGCAGTGAACATTTCGGCCTTGCAGCCGTCAGGGCTGCCTCGCTCCTCGGGCGGTATGCGAGCACGCGGGCACGGTGGGGCTGACAAACCTGGATCCGCAAAGCCAGACCAGGGGCCCGCATAGGACAGACCGTGGGACCTGGCCCCAGACCCTTGCCTGTCTGTGCAAGGCCTGTGAGCTGGCATAGTGTTTATGTGTTTAAAGGGCCGTAAAAACAGAAAGAACAGAGGAGAATATGCGACAGGGACCGTATGTGGTCCAGAGGGACAAAAAGACTCATAGCTGGCCCTCAGGGGACAGTCTGCTGACCCCAACTAGACCGTTCCCAAAGCCCCCGGGGCAACAGGATCTAGTGTGTCTGGTCCTGGACAGCCCCTTTCACGGCAAGGGTCCCTGCTCCAGTTCTGCCCGGACACTGACTGGCCCGTCGCGGGCTTCTGGAGTTGGGGCTGGGGCTGGATGCCTGCTGCCGCCCAGTGGACACCACCGGGTTCCAGCTTAGCTGGACCACCAGTGACCTAGATGGGCTTTTAGGAGATCCTCTGTGACTCGAGGGCCCATGAAGCCAGCGATTCCCTGGGCGCTGGAGTGGGAGACGAGGCTCCCTGGGGAGCTGCCACTGCCACACAGAAACCCTGGCGACTCGGCGCCTGTCACGTTTCCATCGACCACCCGCCCTGTTGGGCCCTTCCCTCGTCACGGGGTTTGACTCCAACAGGGATGCTGAGCTGCTTTCCATGGGCTCGTTGGCCATTCCCGTATCTTCTCTGGAGAAACGTCTGTTCCGGTCCTGTGCTTGTCTTTTAATCGGGCTGTCGTGGGTTTGACTGTTGAGCTGTAGTTCTCTGTAAGTCCTCTTGCTAATCCCTTATTAAATGTGATGTGCAAACATTTTCTCCCTTTCTGTGTGTTGCCTTTTTACTCTGTTGATAGTGTTTTTTGATGCACAAAAGGTTTTTAATCTTGATAAACTCAAGGTTGTTTACTTTTTCTTTTGTTACCTGTGCCTTTGGTGACACATCTAAGAAATCATTGCCAAGGCCAACGTCGTGAGGCTTTTACCCTACGTTTTCTTCTGAGTCTTACATTTTTAGCTCTCAGGTTTAGGTCTTTGATCCACTGTGAGCTTATTTTTGTACATGACGTTAGGTAAGGGTCAAACTTCATTATTTTGCCTGTGAATATCCAGTTTTTCCGGCACCATTTGTTGAAAAGACCATTTGGTCTTGGAAAAGACCAAGACCATTTCCTTATTGAATGGTCTTGGGTCCCTTGTTGAAAATCATGTGACCAAATGTGCAAGGGTTTATGTCCAGGCTCTGTGTTCTGCTCCATGGGTCTAGTGTCTGTCTTTCTGTCAATGCCACTGTTTCAGGAAGCGAGTCTCCAACTCTGTTCTTTTTCAAGATCGTTTTGACTGCTGACAAGGTCTGAAAGCTTGCCTTTGATTTCTTGGAACTCTGAGCTTAGTTGTGTTACTGTCTGTGCCTGATAGTTCCCACATCTGGTGTCCCTCCCGTTTCTGCTTACTCGTCACGGGTGCTAGCGTCCATGTGTGCCCGCTGACCTTCGACTGTGTCCTGCGTTGTGCATTTGAGACATTACTTGTTGGAATAACTCGAGGCTTAAGACGGTGGCATCTTCCTCCAGAGGGTTTCTCTCTGCTTCTGCCTGGGACCTGGAAACACTACCTGTCAGGAGCCACTGTAATCCACGTCCATTCCGGGGCCCAAGCGCCTGCCCCAGAGCAGAGCCTACTCTGGGGCTCCTGATCCCGCAGCAGCAGCCCAGGGCCGGGCCTCCCGGGACATTGGGGCATGGGGACCTGCGTGACATTAGGCATCAGGCATCAGGGCCTGTCCAGGAAGGAATGGAGCAGGCTGAGGGGTCCCATGCCTGGGACCAGGAGGTGCCAGCTCACCCAGAGGGAGGTTGAGCCACATGCCACCCCCAAACCACCGGCTCCTCCCTCTGGACGCCCCTGACTCCCCGCCCCACCCCCACAGGTGAACAACAACGGCATCATCTCCTTCCTGAAGGAGGTCTCTCAGTTCACCCCGGTGGCCTTCCCTGTCGCCAAGGACCGCTGCGTGGTGGCGGCCTTCTGGGCGGACGTGGACAACCGGCGTGCGGGCGACGTGTACCACCGGGAGGCCACCGACGCCGCCACCCTGCTCAGGGCCACGGAGGACATCAGGCGCTACTTCCCCGAGCTCCCAGGCTTCTCGGCCACCTGGGTTTTCATCGCCACCTGGTACCGCGTGACCTTCTTCGGAGGCAGCTCCTCGTCCCCCGTGAGTTCTGTCCTGGGGAGGCGGGGACTGCGCCCTCCGGCCCGTCTCGCTGAGGTGGGTGGGACGCAGTCACTGGTCCGTGCCCAGGAGTCGCTCGCTCAAGGTCACACAGCCCGGCTGGAGAAGGAGGAGGCCTCTGCCCTCCCCCATCCTCTGGGAAAACCCCAAATGCCCAGTGGAGTGGCTCAGGCGCCCAGAGGAGGGGGTGACATTTAGAGGGGTTCCCACTGGGGTGCTTCCTGCCCAAAGGGTTAAACAGGAAGCAACTGCACCTGGTTTCCTGTCAGACACACTGGCGGGGGTGGGCAGTGCAGGTGAGTCCTTGATGACACCAAATGTGACAATGTGCTGAGCCCTGTGCCAGCGATGGCGGGCGGGTCCCCTCCAGTGAGGACAGCAGCTGCCCCCTCCTGCAGGTCACAACCGTGCATGACATGAGGTCGCTCTCTAGAGAAGAGCCACTGGGTGTAGAGTGGCGTTTTCAGAGCTGTTTGTTCACCCACTGATTAAACATTTACTTAGATGAGCCTCTGGGGGGCACTGGGGAGACAGCTGTGGACAGAGCAGACAAGACACGTCTCTCCCATGGGGTGACACAGCGACTGTGTGATAAAGATGCCGGGTGCCGAGAGGCCCCCAGCACAGCCCGGCCAGCGGGCAGGGGCCCTCCGTGAGACTGTCATGCCGGCCTGAGGGGGCTCGGCCGCCTGGGGGCTTCAGACCTGGAGGAACTGGACCGTTCAAAGCAGCCATCCGGGTGGATGTGACAGGTCACTGGACAGTGGGGTAGAGACAGAAGCAATCAGGGTAGTGCCTGGTTTCCTGTCAGACACACTGGGGGGCGGGTGGTGCCGGTGAGGCCTGCGCTCAGGGTCTAGGGGGTGCAAGTGACGGGCGCGGTCCCGGACGTGCTGAGGTGGCCGTGCCAGAGAGCATGAGGAGATGGAGCCCGGGGTCCCCAGCAGTGGGAGCGGAGGTCGGGGAGGGAAGTGGCGGGTGATGGGATGCTCGCAGACTCCGAGCTGTCCGGCAGCCGAGGCGGAAGAGAGAAAGGGCGGGAAGAAAGGTGCTTAGCCAGGGGCGTCTCGCGTGACACTCGCTGCCGGACGTTTAAGAGTTGGACAGTGAGTCAGGAAAGATGGGCTTCTGAGAGCATCATCACCTCGGTTTCCGTGTAAGGAGGGACACGGGACCTGCAGAGACACTGCCAGCTCGGCTCCAGCCACCGGAGTCGAGCGAGGGTCGCGTGGGTTTTTGGTTTCCCGGTGCGCACAGCAGTCACGTTTACGCTGCACCGTAGCCGGTTCAGTGCACCGTAGCTTCACGTGCACACGTGCGCTGCATGCGCCTTCGCTGACCACACTGTCGCCAAAACTGTGAACCGTCACCTGACCCTTCGGAGTCGCGCTCTCTCCGCTGGCGGAGGGTCTTGCCTCAGCGGTGACACCGCCGACCGATCACCGGTGGTTGCTGAAGGCGGGGCGGCCGAGGCTCCGTGGCCGAGGCTCGCTGCGTCCACCGGCTCCTCCTTCACGAGTGAGTCCGCGACGCTGGTCGGCAGCGTTTTACCCACGGAAGAACCTCCGTCGAAATTAGAGTCAACCCCTCAAACCCTGCTGCTGCTTCGCCAACTGAGTTGACGTGATGGTCTCAGTCCCTCGTCATTTCCACAGTGCGCACAGCATCTCCGCCAGGAGTGGGCTCCATCTGAAGAAACCCCGTTCTTTGCTCACTCGTGAGAAGCGTCTTCTCACCCGCTCAGGTGGCAGCGACGCGGCCGCGTCGCCAGCCCTAGTTCCCCTGCAGCTTCTGCCACACCTGCGGTCCCGTCCCCCCGACCTCGAGCCCCTCCGGTCACCCCTGAGCGTGGGAATCCACTTCTCCAAACTCCCGTTAATGCTGATGTTTTGGCCTCTTCCCATGAATCGTCAATGTTCTCAATGGCGTCTAGAGCAAGGGATCCGTTCTGGAAGGTTTTCAGTCCACGGTGCCCAGCTCCACCAGAGGAATCACCGTCTGTGGCAGCCGTAGCCTGACGAAAGGCATTTCTTAAATAATAAGCACTTAAAGTCAGAATCACTCCTCGATCCAGGGGCTGCAGGATGGGTGCTGCGTTCGCAGGCATGAAGATGACATTCATCTCGTCCAGCCCCATCAGAGCTCTTGGAGGACCAGGTGCCTTGTCAGTGAGCGGTCAGATTTTGAAAGGCACCTTTTTTCTGAGCAGTCGGTCTCGACAGTGGGCTTAAAACACTCAGTAAGCCCCGCTGGAAACAGCCGTGCTGCTCCGGCTCGCTGCTCCATTTCTGGCGCCCAGGCAGAGCAGACTCCGTGTAAGTCTTAAGGGCCGAAGATCGTCGGAATGGCCAGTGGGCACTGGCTTCAGCCTAGAGTCCCCAGCTGCATTCGCCCCGCGCCCGAGAATCAGCCTGTCCTGTCCTTGGGGACGTTGAAGCCAGGCGCTGACTCCTCTCAGCTATGAAAGCCCAGGTGGCATCTTCTTCCAATACAAGGCTGCTTTTTCTGTGCTGAGAACCTGTCGTTCGGTGCGGCCACCTTCGTGAGCCAGCTGGCTGGCCCTTCCGGGGGACGTGCCGCAGGCGTCTCCATCAGCACGTGTGGCTGTGCAGACCTGTGCTCCCTCCGTGGACCTCGTGGACCAGGCTCCGTGGTCTGACCCGTGTGGACGCCAAGCCCTCTCCGTGTCGCCCGCTCGCTGGTGGCCCGGCGGTCCCTGGGGCAGCACTTCCACTTCCCTTCGGCATCTTCCTTGGCATTCATTCACTGTTTGGTGGCTTCGCTCACGCCTTCCCCGCCAAGCTGGTCCCCTGCGGCTTTTGATTTAAAGAGAGAAACAGGAGCCTCTTCCTTTTACTTGAACCATTAGGGGGCGCTGTGGGCTGGTTAATTGCCCCAGTTTCTCTATTGTGTCGCAGGGAACCGCAGGGCGGCCTGGGGAGGGACAGACAGGGACGGCCCGAAGGCGGAGCAGTCAGAACGCACACAGCAATGATAGGTTACATTGTCTTCTGTGGGTGCCCTTCCTGGCGCCCCAGAACAATCACAACGGCTGTGTCAAAGGTCACTGAGCTCAGATCACCGTGACAAATATAACAATGGCGAGAAAGTCTGAAACACTTTGAGAATCGCCAAACGTGACAAAGAGACACAAAGTGAGCAAATGGTGCCCGACGCAAACCTTCAATTTCTAAAACCCACATTATCTGCGGAGCGCGGTAGAGCGAAACGCAGTAAAACGGGGTTCGCCCGAGCACCGCGGGACCCCCAGTGCTGTGTCTGTCAGCGGCACCCGGACTCGGCACCACCCACAGCCCCCACCGCAAGGCACCCTGAGGTGGGCACCGCGCAGCCCCCAGTTCACTGTGAGACCACATCTTGGCACGAGTGTCTAGAAGGGACTTTGATGCCGCAGAATCCCCAGGTTCCGCTCGGGAACGTGCCCATGTGAGCCACGTCCGAAGTGCCTGTCCCTCCCGCCCCGGCCGAGTGGCTAGCTATGCCTTTTAGCCCCTGCACGTCGCGGTTCCCAGTGTAGCCTGTGCCCGGCGTCATCGGCCAGCGGGACGCTCTCGTGGTTCTGTCGCGATGGATCTGAACTTTAGCCTTTGCCAATTTTTCCATAATCGCTTTGGCCTTTCCCTTATTGACTTGTAGAAGCTCTTCTTGAATTAAGGATAGTAACAGTTTTTATCTGCCTCGTGTGTTATAAATACATTTTTCGCTTTGCTGTTTGCCATTCGGTTTGAGTCGATGGCCCTTTTTTATATTCAAACGCGTTTGCAGCCAGACGCATGAAGCTCTGTCTGTTTCCCGGTCAGCAAGCAGCCCCCCCCCGGAGGCCCTCCACCCCTCCGTCTCCCAGGACCGTGACGCTCCATCCACATCCGGGCTCGATTCGGATTTATCGTCACGAGTGACGCAAAGCTCTAGATTTATCGTTTTTCAGAGTTTCCCACTTTGTCCTGAGACCCCTTGTTACACAACCCCACCCTTTGCCTGATCTGAAACGGACTCATATATACACTACCCACCAATATTTTCACAGAATTCCATGAAAACCATAAAACTTAAGTATTAAAAGTTTTTTTTCTCAGTCCCTCTTTTTACCTTCCCCCTTGTTCGCTTCGCGTTTTTATCCTAGTCACATGAGACAGCTTTGTGTATCAGCCAAGCGAGCACTAATGCTCTGTGCCCGTGGCCTCGGGGAACAGTGTCTGCTCCTGGCGCCCCTGGGCCCCCACAGACCCTCTCCCGCCAGGCAGCAGCTACTGGGAAGGGGCTGGCCGATGCCAGGGCCTCTGGCACCGGGACACAGGACAGGATGGAGGACGAGGCCATCAACATCCTGCCCTGTGGGGGGACAGGATGGTGACGGTGTGCGGGGATGGGGGCGGGGCAGGGCTCTGGGGGTGACGGGCTGCAGGACCCCGCTCAGGCCCCTCCTTGGCAGGTCAACACGTTCCAGATCGTGCTGGTCACTGATGGAGCGTCCTCCTTCACTATCTTCAACTACGAGTCCATCACTTGGACCACGGGCACGCACGCTAGCAGCGGGGGCAACGCCACGGGCCTGGGGGGCATCGCAGCCCAGGTAGGGGCCCCCGCTCCCCACTCCAGGGCTGTGACGAGCTGATGAGGCAGGCGGACCCCTCCACACAGCCAGTGCTGTGCAGAGGCCTCCCCCAGCGCAGAACCGCACAAACGTCCTAGGGCCAAAGGCACCTGTGACCCTCACCCCCCCACAACCTGGCCTGCTGGGCCAGGGCCCAACAATGTCCTTGACTTGGGGGACTGTCGTGGGGAACTGTCAGGACCTGGCTGGGAGACGGCTGACCTCCCGCAGGGTCGCCGTGGGGGAGGGGGTGAGGACACACCGAATTCATAGTTCTCCAGCTCCCGCGCGATCTTTTCGACCTTGGCCAGCCCGGGGAGGTGGGTGTGTCAGGAACGTTAGGGACCTGCGGACCCAGCCCGCACCTGCCCCCTCTCTCCACACCCACCCAGGCCGGCTTCAACGCAGGGGACGGGCTGCGCTACTTCAGCATCCCCGGCTCCCGCACGGCGGACATGGCGCAGGTGGAGACCACCACCAACGTGGGCGTGCCCGGGCGCTGGGCGTTCAGAATCGATGATGCCCAGGTGCGCGTGGGGGGCTGCGCCCAGACAAGTAAGAGGACGGAGGGGGCGGCT